GATCCCATATGTGTAAAGTCCACGGTATAGCCTTGAGCCCGTGTTTCCCCGGCAGACTTCTGCCATTCCAAGAGGGTTCAATCACCTCCATTCTTCCATATGCACCTAAGGGATGTTCATATGTGTATTGCTTCCGAAACCTCCTTCGGGAAGGTTCGAGCTTCCGTAACGCCCCTGTTCCAAGTAGAACGGGTACGTTTTCCCAGTGTTATCCAGTCTTACTTATTGGGTAGTGCCATAGTAGCAGTAGCTGGTCCTCTTGTGTAAGCCCTGGCCTACATCAAAAAGTAGGGGAGCAGGTGGCTTCCACAGGACACTGGAAGGGGCAGTAGCTGTGGCCTTTTGGTAGGATCCCAATTCGTCGGTCATCCGACGTGACGTCGGGAGTGACCGACTGAAAGGGAACGTCTCGGTTACGTATGGTAACCCTCGTTCCCTGAAGGAGGGAACGGAGTATCACGTCCCGTCGCCACAGCTCCTGTACCACCGCTGAGCGGCCGGGTCACCGGCTCAGCTCCTCAGCGAAAACCTGAATATGCGCTGCATCTGCTGCCTACTTATACTCACGCTGTGATCAGCAGCAGTTGGATGCAATAATCGCATGCCAATGTGCATTGGCTCGCTTAGTTTACACTCGAAGTAGATTGGTCTCTCTAAGCAAGATCCCAATTCGTCGGTCATCTGACATGACGTCTCCATTCCCTCCTTCAGGGAACGAGGGTTACCATACGTAACAGAGACGATATAGGCCTATCCAGAGAGTGCAATTTAATGCACTTTTGGCATTTAAAATTTTAGAGACAAATCAGGTGACAGGATGGTGGAATGATGTAGAATTTGCATTATTCCTTTAGTGAATCAGGAGCGAACACATCACAGGCAGCATCTTCAATAACAACACTATCAGTGGCTGCAACTCATTCTGAGTGAATTCCCCTTAGTATATCTAAAAGGCTCTTGATGACGTAGATAAACTCATACAGAACTAACCGACTCAAGCTAAAATAAACTAAATATTTTGGCTGAGAGAGCTAGCAGGTAGTGCGGAACGTCCAGTGTTTTGATCCATATCATACAGACACTTTTCATGTCTCTCCCTCAGTCACAAGTTGTCCATCTGTTAAAGCTACATCCCAACACTGTGTTACTGTGTAACTTTTTTGGAACTTCATGTTTCATTCTGAGAATTCAAAGCTTCTCCAGGCTAATGCTACAACTGAACTAAGATGTTTAATAATCAAAATTTTCAAACATGGCATAAATTGTCAAATAATCAATTTGCATTAGCACAGTGTGCTGTCCCATAGACAGCAAGGGTACTACCACGATCAACGTCCAGAAACTTAGCAAGGAGATCTGTAAAATAATTCCTCGTAATATTACGAAGCTACGAGAATACTTTTTGTGCGCAAAAGAAAAAAAAACGACTTTATTCAACAATTCGTCTCCTCCGTGTCACCCTAGCACCATTTTGGAGAGTATCCACTGAATGCAAACAGTATTATGTTGTTCTGTGTCAGCCGCACCACACGGATACATTGTTTTCGTTCAAATCAAAGCACAAACAACGTAGAAAACGTATCCGCGTGGCGCAGCTGACAGAGAACAGCATACGCTTCTGGACGTTGATCGTGGTAGTACCCTTGCTGTCTATGGGAGGGTCAGAGAGCTATCAGATTCCATCAAAAATAACTTAATTTGTGTTCCAAAGATGAACGGGTTTGGATCAACATGAGGGTAAGTAATTAATGACAGAATTTTCATTTTTGGGTGAACTATCCCTTTAAGAGTCAGTGTTCAACCAACACCTTTACTTTACTTTAAGTAAAGCAATTTATTATGGAGCCAAAAAATTATTCTTATTTGATGCACTGAATTTTTATAATTCATAGGATTTTCATGAAAAGCAGTGACAGGGTTACAGAGCGCATATCAAATGAAGGTTTTATACACCAGTTAAAAGTCAAAGAAAAAAGTACAGCAAAACAAACAAATAAATCCCATTAGAATTTATTCAGGTGCATCTTATTTTTCACTTACAACGCCATCTTTACATCTTCACCCCAGCTGTGGTGCCACAGGTCACACAGTGATCATGATTCACACCATCAGAGAGACTAACAGACCACCACAGTGATTCATGAGCCTCACAACATAACCTAGTGTGACAAGGTTAAACGCAGGACAATCCTCACCATTAGTCGACAGATGAAGCCATTGGAAGCAGTAGCAACATGTCTTAAATGGAAAGATCTCCATATGACTATAGATGAGCCAAATTAGTTCATGCAAGAAGATTCTGTATTGCTTTTGCATTGTCTTTATTTTCTATGTCAATTTGGTCTATTCTAATTTCTATTTGGTCTAAAATTACTTACTTTCCAATATGTTGCATGTAAATTAACATATTTTATGCAAAACAGATTCAGGATGTACTGGGTTGAAAACCAAGGGCTGGATTTTTTTGTGTGGAGACTTCTTCAAAAAAAAAAAAGTTGATCTATGTTTTTCATTTTATTATATTGATAATATACTGTATGACTGTACTCCTGTTTTTATGATAGTATTAATGTGTTTCTTCTCAAACAGAGACAATCTTACATTAACCCTGTCTCCAGTACTTTAAACTAAAAGACGTGCTTCCACCCCTAAGGTTCTGAGTATGACCAGATGATTATCCCCTGAACCATAACACAATAATCTATTTATTTTGTGCAAAGTCATAAGATACATCATCCATTCTTATAAATTATGATACTTGAATGTAAATTATGTACTTGAAACTGGATTCACAGCCCTGCTGTCTCTTTTTGCTTTCACTGCCAGCTAAAGATCACTGCATTTGAATGCTGTCCAAATTTTCTTTACAAAGGTGACGTGTTTGTTTGCATTATGGCTGTGCAATATATCAAAATATCGCAAAAGTACATATCGCAATATGCATATCGCTACACCTTGCAATAGTTGGGGCCATGAACAAATGACAAAGATAAACTGCGACCATAGAAAGAGGCCTAAATTGGAGTGGCACGCAATTCGTCACTGGATAAAGCATATTCCCTGAATCTGGCTGGGCCCTATGGGCTTCAACATCTGAGCAACTTGTGTTACCGTAGTAACAGAGCTGTTGAGTTGGAGGGTACAAGTACAGAAGATAGCAACACACCACTCTGCATGTTAATATAGCTGCTAATAAAGCTCTACCTAAAAGAACTGCCACATATGGGATCTTTGTCTAGCAGGCGGATTTCTAAGACTAATGTTCTTTTCATTGTACTACCGTTCAAAAGTGGGGTCAGCAAGATTAATTTTTTTTTTTTTATGAAATGAATACTTTCATTCAATAAAGATGCATTAAATTTATAAAAAATTTACAGTAAAGACATTTATAACGTTACAAATGATTTCTATTTTAAATAAATGCTGTTCTTTTGAACTTTCTATTCATCACAGAATCTTGAAAAAAAAAATGTTTCATGGTTTCCACACGAATATTAAGCACCAAAAACTGTTTTCAACATTGATAATAATAATATGAGCAGCAAATCAGCATATGAGGATCTGTGGATCTGATTTCTGAAGGATCATGTGGCACTTAAGAAGACTGGAGTAAAGGCTGCTGACAAAAATACATTTTTATATATACTACAATAGAAAACAGTTTGTTTACATTGTAATAATATTTCACAATATTATTGTTTTACTGTATTTTTCATCCTCCCTTGTGAGCATAAGATACTTCTTTCAAAAATAATTTTAAAAAACCTTACCAGCACCAAATAAAATGATTATAAATGTAAACTGGACTTTTAAGCATATGTTACTAAATTAGGCAAACCATCAACGGCAAAACGAAACCAAAATTCAATGTACATGTGGCTCTCCAATTTCCATTTAAATAGCAGTGATAGTAATCCCATTTAAATAATTCTGACATACTAGTCTTACTATCTCTGCAATATATGGTATGTATAATACTATGCATAGTATGCAAATATTCAGTATGCACAGATGACTGTTGTACACTATTAATTTTAAATTGTAGTCAGAGTTGACCTTGACCACTGTGATGAATTAGTGAAGTTTTTGTGCATGCTTGTTTATTTGTTTTTGTGTTGTTTTTTTTGCACAAACTGACATTAATATGCATTTTTTTTCCCAAGATCATAACTGGACACATGCACATGCAACAGTAACATACTGATTTCATTCCTGTTTTAAAGAATAACAGGCTGTATAGAGTTTATACTGTGTAGTATTCAGTGAGCTAAGCTATTATTCATTGTGAACACAGCCTCTGCCACACTCTGACAGCAAGAGGAGGAACGGTGTTCAATCAGGGCTGAAAGGATAAGGAGCACTTAAAGTCATGCAAATTGAAGAAAGAAAGAAGATGAAATACAGGTCCATCTCTCCTCCCTGCAATCATTCAAAAGCTAAAGATATCTGCTGTATAGCTCAGACAACTGTTGTGGACCTATTAATCACTGTGCTTTTTTATTAAGCCTTGAATTAGTTCACATTAATAGATCATACTGAGGTAGCGATTATGTTACAACAAATAATTAAATATATATTTGATAATTCACTTATTTTATTGAGTGTCTTGTTTTATTTTTATTTCGTTTTGTAAAAGCTTCAAAAACTTATTCTGATAGTTATCTGACAAAGTCATTAAAAAAAACCTTTAAAGTACTTTCCTAAACATGCTCTTCAATGGCATTCTGATAAACAACACACACTAACACTCATTTAAATCTATCTTTGGACCGGAAGGAAGTTGGCAAGGTAAACACAAAGTCACCAGGTATTTGTGCTCTACATCTTCATCACTCTAAAGTAAACATACTAAACGTACCACTCAAATCTAACTGTATCACAGCAAAACCCAAATGACTTCACAATGAGAAACAGTTCCAAGGCTTCAAACTTTAAAATAGTACACATTCCAAATCAAAAATTGACTTTAGACTAAAAATGAGGTACTTACCTTCAACTTCTTCCTGATCACATACGTTTTTGAGTAACGAGGCCCCTCTGTCCAGCACGGCCTCATCCTCCATCCTGTAGTAGTAAAAGAGGAAAAAAGACTGCTCACATTTCTCTTCTAAAGACAACGTGGAGCCATAGCGGCGAGGCTCATTCACTTGCAGTGTGTTTCTGCTAGTACTAGCCATGTTCCCAGGTTAGCAGGTAACGCTAACAAGGGGTGAGTCTTTGGTCTGGATCCAGCCCTGGTTAGTAGATGTGCGGTGTAACTTATGGGGCACAGTCCTGTTCTGAGTGCTGCCCTTGAGGGGACACAGGAGCGGTCAGGTAAACATTGGGAGGGTAATCCGGTCTCTGGGGGATGGGACGGGCTGGGCAGCCTAGTAAGATGCTAATTGAGTCTGATGTCCAGGAGGTGTGAGCCGGGCTGCCACACACAGATTTCAGATCAACTAATGAGCGATACTAATGCTAATACATCACGTTACATGTGGGTGGAATAAACACTGAGCATGGTCTCAAACGCTATTTATGACAATCGGATTTCTCCAGCTGGTCTATTATACTCAAGCGATTATGGGGCATTATATGCCCTAGCATTAGATCAATAATGAAACATGACCTAATCTGACCTGATATAGGAAACTTTACAAACAAACAATGCTTACTGTATTTTCCTAAAAAGTAGTTCGCACGCACCTGACTGTAGTCACACCAAGTCAAAATCTCATTGTTGAGAGGATACAAATTTTTTAAAAAACACTGGTAATTATTGCACTGGTTTATTATTACATTATGAAAAATGTAAAATCCCTGTGAAGGCGCTTTGGAATATAACTCCATCTGAAACAATGTTTTACAATGACTTACATTCCAGAAAATACTATAGTTCTAAAAAAAGAATCCAATATTTAGAATGTTTGAAATGAGGAGGACAAAAATGTATAGCAAGGCTGAAATCATATTTCAGTATTCTTATATATTTTTTTCACCAGTAGATCATTTTTTAATACATTTATGGAGTGTACTGTATGTAAAAGGTTGTGTAAAATAAAATAAAATAAAATAAATGTCTAAGTGGACCAAAAACATACAGCAAGAAACACTCATGTACTGGATGTCTGGAATGAGGAGGATAAAGATCCATAGCAGGGCTGAAATGAACTCATTTCCTGTTTGGCATTTTACAAAAATAAGAGTAGAGGTGGTATGTTATTCCTTACAGTTTTTTTAATAAAGTCGGTTATATTATGTTAATTTCGATACTTTGAGTCAAATCAATTTCTTACTTGAACCAACAAAACACAGAGTTAGCATTTACATTTTCTATAAGATGATTGTTAATCAACTCTGAGTGGACTTATGTAAGCACTTAAACCTTTATCTGACATGTTCTGCCTGGCTAAGACTGCCTAGTAAAATTAAGCAACAGCAACATTGTGAGTATCACAATGATTTAAGACTGTTTTTAGCCATTAAGTTTCCAAAGAGTATGTTGTTATGTCCATTAATACATCTCAAATTTTTCACTGAGACTTCAACACACTCTCCATATAAAAGGTATGCTGTAAACTCTATGTAGTGAACTTTACATTTGCATCTGGGGGAGCATGTAGCCATTTGCCCACTAGGGATAAAGATTATTGCTCCAAGCAAGGTGTGACTGCTCTTTGACACTTTAGAAAGAAGTCCAAAGACCAGACCGAAACAATTCAGACACTGACATTCTCTTTCAGGAACAGAGGTGTGACTAAAAGTGTGCAGTAAATGGATATGATGTTATTTGTTCAGATCACAATCATCTTTAGAGGTTCGATAATAGAGTGCTTTTCACTTCTAAAATCCATTAAAAACATTTAATGCCCAGAGAACACACGTTAGATAATGATTTCCTCTATGGGCTCATTACATTTTTACAAATCATAAATAGAAACCAAGATGTAAACACAAACAGGAAGGAAAGAGCTTGTTTCTCTGATAAGAGCGCAGAGCTCCTGAGCGCCCAGTGTCACTGCATATCTCAACTAGATGCAATCAAGCATGCTGAAAAGATGGCAAGTTTAAACACTCAATTCTGGAACCCAGGCTCATTGAACAAATGTGCCTGTGGTGACATTTCAACAACATGATATTACACTGCTTCTTGCACATTTCATAACACGTTCAAAGTAACACTTTTAAAGTGAAATGTCCAGTGAGTGGCACTAAAAGTTGTATCTGAAATTCGAACATGAATCTGGCAACAGGTTAGTACATTGGTTGTTATATGTAAATAAAGTACCACCCACAGTAAACCCTATACTAAACCTATTCGATAAAAATGCATTTGCTGAATCAACCATGCCATTTTCATGGGATTTGTGCCTGAGCACTCAGCATACAATGTTGCACCGGGTGAGCTATTGATCAAGTTTACTATGTCTGAAAAGCCATACGTATGGAGCTGGTTATGTGATACAAACATAAGATGTATTAATTCAGAGATCATGCACTATGGTAAAAGTGTTATATAAAAATGATATAATACATGTTATACGAAAATAAGTTTTTCTTAATTGATTTTTTTACTGCCTCTAGTGTTAATTTCCGCTGGAAACTGCAGTGAATTGTATGTATAGGTACATTTTGGATTCTTGCAAAAAATGTAGGTAGGCACGCTTTTCCATTGAGCCTATGTTGTAATTCTGGCAAAGTGAAGCTCTACAGCACGTCAAGATTTGTGTCATTCAAGGGGCTATTTAACTTTTATGAAAGTTAAAAGTTAAGTTAGTATTACACTTACCAAGCCATATTACTGAAGCCTGCAGGGTTTTACACTTATACATGTTGTTAAACAATAACTACATATGGCAGGTGCGACACAAACAGAGGTGTTTGGTTATCTGTGACATGATATAATACTAGATGACTGGTTAATAGGTCAGTGAATAAGTTTAACAGAGGGGTTGGACATGACCATGTTTCTAACACCTAGACTTTACACATAGCTAAGTTAGGACTGTTAATAGCAACCATCAACAATACCAGCTTTATGGACAATGTCAAAATTCATAACCCATATGATAACCACAGACAAAACAATCCTGTTTATAGTAATCTCATTTGTACAGAACGTACAAAATTGTAAGGAAAACAATTCTCTTGGAGGCAATGGAAGGCTCTCAATTTATCCAGTTTGTTAAAGGATAAAAATCTCTTGGAAAATGCTTTTGTCGACCATTATAAAGTAAGGCAAAAAGAAAACGATATCAGCACTTAAACTGTTTTTTTAACATCAGACTCTGACTGTTACTTCCCTAAACTATCCCTCTTCCTTCCCCAATCTTCATTGCCACCTATAGAACAGACATTGTCACAGCAAGCACCAACAGTGCTCCTTCATATCAGATGGGTTCACGGTTTCTTGCAAATAGTTGGGTGAACTGTTGTTTAAGCATACATAAAATATGACAAACTAGCATAATAAACTACACCCACACTTAAAAATACAAGCAAAACATAACAATTTTCAACCATTTAACTGCAGCAAAATAAATACAAATCTAAAGTGGCAATATACCCATTAAGGAATGAACTCTCCTCTTTTCAGATTTCTTTAGTGTTTTATGCATAACTGGATTACATATCTGACCTCAACTCCTGACTGGAATCTCCTAAGTGTAAGATAAATCACTCTTCTTTAAATATTAACTTGTATATTTAGATTTTGTATCACTGATTTATTGAGTACTGGGACATAACAGGCTAAAAAGGTGAAATAAAAATATATGTAAATAAGTTCACATATTAACAAATTGTTTTGAGTGAATCTCCTAAAAAACATGAGAGGCACTTACTTACCTATGTTTGGGTGCAGAATATATTGCATGTGAATGTAAATTTTGACATGAATGAAATGGATTCTCAGCTTCTATTCTGAACTGTCACCAGTTTGAAAATCTAAGGTGCTGATAAATTAGCCAAGTTTTACTAATAATGGAAAAATGTAAAATCCCTGTGAAGGCGCTTTGGAATATAACTCCATCTGAAACAATGTTTTACAATGACTTACATTCCAGAAAATACTATAGTTCTAAAAAAAGAATCCAATATTTAGAATGTTTGAAATGAGGAGGACAAAAATGTATAGCAAGGCTGAAATCATATTTCAGTATTCTTATATATTTTTTTCACCAGTAGATCATTTTTTAATACATTTATGGAGTGTACTGTATGTAAAAGGTTGTGTAAAATAAAATAAAATAAAATAAATGTCTAAGTGGACCAAAAACATACAGCAAGAAACACTCATGTACTGGATGTCTGGAATGAGGAGGATAAAGATCCATAGCAGGGCTGAAATGAACTCATTTCCTGTTTGGCATTTTACAAAAATAAGAGTAGAGGTGGTATGTTATTCCTTACAGTTTTTTTAATAAAGTCGGTTATATTATGTTAATTTCGATACTTTGAGCCAAATCAATTTCTTACTTGAACCAACAAAACACAGAGTTAGCATTTACATTTTCTATAAGATGATTGTTAATCAACTCTGAGTGGACTTATGTAAGCACTTAAACCTTTATCTGACGTGTTCTGCCTGGCTAAGACTGCCTAGTAAAATTAAGCAACAGCAACATTGTGAGTATCACAATGATTTAAGACTGTTTTAAGCCATTAAGTTTCCAAAGAGTATGTTGTTATGTCCATTAATACATCTCAAATTTTTCACTGAGACTTCAACACACTCTCCATATAAAAGGTATGCTGTAAACTCTATGTAGTGAACTTTACATTTGCATCTGGGGGAGCATGTAGCCATTTGCCCACTAGGGATAAAGATTATTGCTCCAAGCAAGGTGTGACTGCTCTTTGACACTTTAGAAAGAAGTCCAAAGACCAGACCGAAACAATTCAGACACTGACATTCTCTTTCAGGAACAGAGGTGTGACTAAAAGTGTGCAGTAAATGGATATGATGTTATTTGTTCAGATCACAATCATCTTTAGAGGTTCGATAATAGAGTGCTTTTCACTTCTAAAATCCATTAAAAACATTTAATGCCCAGAGAACACACGTTAGATAATGATTTCCTCTATGGGCTCATTACATTTTTACAAATCATAAATAGAAACCAAGATGTAAACACAAACAGGAAGGAAAGAGCTTGTTTCTCTGATAAGAGCGCAGAGCTCCTGAGCGCCCAGTGTCACTGCATATCTCAACTAGATGCAATCAAGCATGCTGAAAAGATGGCAAGTTTAAACACTCAATTCTGGAACCCAGGCTCATTGAACAAATGTGCCTGTGGTGACATTTCAACAACATGATATTACACTGCTTCTTGCACATTTCATAACACGTTCAAAGTAACACTTTTAAAGTGAAATGTCCAGTGAGTGGCACTAAAAGTTGTATCTGAAATTCGAACATGAATCTGGCAACAGGTTAGTACATTGGTTGTTATATGTAAATAAAGTACCACCCACAGTAAACCCTATACTAAACCTATTCGATAAAAATGCATTTGCTGAATCAACCATGCCATTTTCATGGGATTTGTGCCTGAGCACTCAGCATACAATGTTGCACCGGGTGAGCTATTGATCAAGTTTACTATGTCTGAAAAGCCATACGTATGGAGCTGGTTATGTGATACAAACATAAGATGTATTAATTCAGAGATCATGCACTATGGTAAAAGTGTTATATAAAAATGATATAATACATGTTATACGAAAATAAGTTTTTCTTAATTGATTTTTTTACTGCCTCTAGTGTTAATTTCCGCTGGAAACTGCAGTGAATTGTATGTATAGGTACATTTTGGATTCTTGCAAAAAATGTAGGTAGGCACGCTTTTCCATTGAGCCTATGTTGTAATTCTGGCAAAGTGAAGCTCTACAGCACGTCAAGATTTGTGTCATTCAAGGGGCTATTTAACTTTTATGAAAGTTAAAAGTTAAGTTAGTATTACACTTACCAAGCCATATTACTGAAGCCTGCAGGGTTTTACACTTATACATGTTGTTAAACAATAACTACATATGGCAGGTGCGACACAAACAGAGGTGTTTGGTTATCTGTGACATGATATAATACTAGATGACTGGTTAATAGGTCAGTGAATAAGTTTAACAGAGGGGTTGGACATGACCATGTTTCTAACACCTAGACTTTACACATAGCTAAGTTAGGACTGTTAATAGCAACCATCAACAATACCAGCTTTATGGACAATGTCAAAATTCATAACCCATATGATAACCACAGACAAAACAATCCTGTTTATAGTAATCTCATTTGTACAGAACGTACAAAATTGTAAGGAAAACAATTCTCTTGGAGGCAATGGAAGGCTCTCAATTTATCCAGTTTGTTAAAGGATAAAAATCTCTTGGAAAATGCTTTTGTCGACCATTATAAAGTAAGGCAAAAAGAAAACGATATCAGCACTTAAACTGTTTTTTTAACATCAGACTCTGACTGTTACTTCCCTAAACTATCCCTCTTCCTTCCCCAATCTTCATTGCCACCTATAGAACAGACATTGTCACAGCAAGCACCAACAGTGCTCCTTCATATCAGATGGGTTCACGGTTTCTTGCAAATAGTTGGGTGAACTGTTGTTTAAGCATACATAAAATATGACAAACTAGCATAATAAACTACACCCACACTTAAAAATACAAGCAAAACATAACAATTTTCAACCATTTAACTGCAGCAAAATAAATACAAATCTAAAGTGGCAATATACCCATTAAGGAATGAACTCTCCTCTTTTCAGATTTCTTTAGTGTTTTATGCATAACTGGATTACATATCTGACCTCAACTCCTGACTGGAATCTCCTAAGTGTAAGATAAATCACTCTTCTTTAAATATTAACTTGTATATTTAGATTTTGTATCACTGATTTATTGAGTACTGGGACATAACAGGCTAAAAAGGTGAAATAAAAATATATGTAAATAAGTTCACATATTAACAAATTGTTTTGAGTGAATCTCCTAAAAAACATGAGAGGCACTTACTTACCTATGTTTGGGTGCAGAATATATTGCATGTGAATGTAAATTTTGACATGAATGAAATGGATTCTCAGCTTCTATTCTGAACTGTCACCAGTTTGAAAATCTAAGGTGCTGATAAATTAGCCAAGTTTTACTAATAATGAGATTATCCAAATATCCAACAGTATGTCTTGTGTGATGGAGTTGACATAACCAGCTATGGCAGAAATCATGAGTCATCAATTACTTAATCATCAGTTACTTAAAATTACAACAACAACAAAAAAGAATTCACCAGAGCCTGTGATGTTGTTGAACTCACAACAGGTGAAACATGGAAAGAGGACCAGGATGACTTCGATATTATCTCATTTTTATCAAAGTTTTCCTATCTGGCAATGCTGACAAAAAAGATGGGACGTAAACTAGGCTACTGTAAGTTGTGGAATATGTTTTGTCCCAGACTCAGCACTCAGTGTTTATATTTCATGTAAATTCAGTGTCTGTTGTTGCAGGGAGGGGGGGTTCAGATGCTATTCTACTATGAACTGGACGAGGCTTGTTAACTGAACTATAATCCTGATCACAGACCCGATAAATACAGGAGCAGGCTTTGGGCTCTTACCTCTTACCGCCGCTCATTTTGTGAGGCTGAATCGCTGATAATGTATTCCAGTGGTTTGCTGCTTCAGTCCAGAGCGATCAATAGAAGCACTGCAACGCCAAACGGTTCAACTGTTCCGTTACTGCACGCTCCCAAAACACTGACAACACTGCTTTTGAGAACTCCTTATGAATAAAACAAGTAAGCTACATGACTTTTTCTAATAACAAAAAGCAAAAAGTGTCAGAAAGTACATCTAAAATACCTCCCGTCCTGTCTGAATGTGCTCCGCCGCATGTGACAGAGCTGACGCGCGTCTGAAGCAGCAGAACTGGACGCTTCAAACTGCGCCTTTCATTTATTACTAGCCGCTGCTAGGGCTAGGCGCGTCACAGCACGAGTGGGAGGTCAAAAAGTTGCGCTAAAATGCGCGTTTACCTTGAGTAAGAGGACACTTACACCAATTTCTCTTTGAAACGGCAATTGATTAACTTGGAAATACACGCCTCAAAGTGTAAACACAAGTAACCCGCGTAACTACTAATGTGCGCTCATGCGATCAACGGATCCAAAGTTTTGGCTGTGGTGGGATGAAAACAGGTACTCCGCGCGCACCTTGCGCTTGCTTCACATTCACGTGAGACACAGCGACACCTTCCGTGGAAATCTCTCACCAACAGCATACTCGGGGAACTGAGGGACGTCGAAATACACACGTTAGATCGGTAGCTAAGTGAAGAAATTGTAAACAGATCAAGTGAAATGTTTTATGTTCAGTTTCATGGAACGTAAAAATAGCTTATCCGGGTACGCTTTTTAAAAAAGGAAAACGGAGATTTGATTGTATCAAATTGTTACTCTTTTCATCATGTCAGAAAACATCATGTGCTATGTTATGTTATGGTTCATCCGTAAGCATTTCAGCTAGATTAAAAAGAAACCATAGAACACAATGTTTAGCCTATGCTACACAGACACACACGCTGTAGTGAATGATCCATTATTAAACGCTCAGTTGGAGAGCATGGTCTTTCTGAAGGTCAGCCATTCCTTCCCTCTCCCCTGTAGGGACAAAAGCCATATGTGTAAAGAGAGCGGACTTTACTGTAACATCAGCTGTTCATATGTTAGATGATGTAGACAAAATAATAGTTGGAAAGGTGTATTTTACAATATTCATATTTTACTCTATGCACATGCTTTATGTTTTTTTGTTCCTTTGTTTGTTTTTTTGTTTCTTTCCACACACTTCACTTTTGTGAAGAATCACATTTAGTATGCTTTATGGGGACTCTCCATAATGGTTTTCATACGGTACAAACTGTATTTGCTGTATCCTTACCCAAGCTCTACCCCTAAACCTACCTCTCAAGCAAAACTTTCTGCTATTTTTAGATTTTACACACACACACCCACACAAAAATTTATTATTTATGATTTCTAAGCTTGTTTCCTCATGGGAACAAAAAATGTCCCCACAAAGACAAAAATTACTGGTATTATACATATATTATTGGTAATATATATATACATATATATATTACTGTCAAAACCTTATCTTGCCATTTTTTCATAATTTGAAGTTCTCTATAAGCAACTGTCAAAGCCATATGCTTTGTAGGCCAATGAGCAAACTGTTGATCTTATGGAAAAAAATAAAAATATTAGAACAGAATATATACAATTGTTTACCATTTATACTATTTATGTTTTTGATTTGGAAGAATTTTAACTGTTGACTTCATAGATGCACAACTGTTGGCGCAAGCTACATTAAAGTGATTATTACATTTTGAATATGGATATTTTTCTTACAAAAACGCATCGATTCGCTACAGAAGGCCTTTGTTCATGTTTTGTTTGTAATTTTCATTTTTGGGTGAACTAACCCTTTAAAATATTACTGTTCAAAAACTTTTGACTGGTAGTCTTATCTATCTATCTATCTATCTATCTATCTATCTTTAGATTTTACACACACACACCCACACAAAAATTTATTATTTATGATTTCTAAGCTTGTTTCCTCATGGGAACAAAAAATGTCCCCACAAAGACAAAAATTACTGGTATTATACATATATTATTGGTAATATATATATACATATATATATTACTGTCAAAACCTTATCTTGCCATTTTTTCATAATTTGAAGTTCTCTATAAGCAACTGTCAAAGCCATATGCTTTGTAGGCCAATGAGCAAACTGTTGATCTTATGGAAAAAAATAAAAATATTAGAACAGAATATATACAATTGTTTACCATTTATACTATTTATGTTTTTGATTTGGAAGAATTTTAACTGTTGACTTCATAGATGCACAACTGTTGGCGCAAGCTACATTAAAGTGATTATTACATTTTGAATATGGATATTTTTCTTACAAAAACGCATCGATTCGCTACAGAAGGCCTTTGTTCATGTTTTGTTTGTAATTTTCATTTTTGGGTGAACTAACCCTTTAAAATATTACTGTTCAAAAACTTTTGACTGGTAGTCTTATCTATCTATCTATCTATCTATCTATCTATCTATCTATCTATTGTCTGTCTGTGTCTACAAAAAAAACATGTAACAAGAGGATTCATTCTTACAGGTTCATTTGACCATTTTTTGTGACTCCAAGCCAATGATCACCTTCAACTTTTAAACCATCCTTTTAAATCAAATGTTTTTAAAAGAACTTCTTTCCATGCTTTAAATAATTTATTGAGAGATCGACCATTGCACACAAGAATGGTTTTATAAGACCCATAGTCCAAAATTAACTAACTATATCAGAGTTGTTCTGCGCAGCTTTTGATACCATTAGCATAAAAGAACTCCAGACATTGCTAAAGAAAAACAAACAGCAAAATAGCTTAGAATAGCCTAAACTGGTTTGCCCAGCTGGTCTTCCTGACTGGTTCTAAGATGATCGGGCTGGGAGACCAACTGGCCGTTGTGATAGAAACTTACTTTGTTTACTTCATTTCTTAATTGACTGCATATGAAATGCTCAAGTGAATCTATTTTTCTTGCATACAGGAATATAACGTCCTGGGCATCTTTACCATCGAGGTAGAAACAACTGGTTTTAGCCAGTTATTGCTGACACTCTCACATCTCTTTTTCTAGACATCTTCTGTCTGAGCATAGAATATAATAGCTAGGGGGGGATTTCTCTCTCAGTCACAACTGCATACTGTATAGCCTATGTGCTGTATGTTTGCTGACTCACTTTGCAAATAATAAAGAACAAAGACGAAAGTTGACTCAATATCTTCCTTTCAGTCTCAACCAATAATTTTCACACAATATCATCCAGCTAAACATCCAGCTTGGCTATCATGGCAGCCAAGTTAGACCAAACCAGCTAAACCATCCAAAACCAACAAAACTTCTAATGCTGGCTTAAGGTGCTTTTTCAGAAGGGATATTGGTCCATGAAAATAACAGCCTCTTAGACAAACGTGTCTGTCTGCCATTAAGTATTTGAAGCCCTTCGTTCCTCACTGTGGGTCTGCATGGAGGCTTTTTAATAACATTCCTTTGATGGAGATATTGAGACAAAGGCTTCAGGAGGAACAGTTAAGGGGTTTAAGACTGTTCCTTGTCATCTCTAAAGCCATCCAACACATTGTATGCCGCTGGCACATTCTTTGCTTCAGCCTCATGCAATGATAGGATGTTCTGAGAAGAAAACAGGGTGCAAAGTTCACAGTTTAGACTAAAATGGCTTTTCACTTCCAGCTTTTAGGAATAAACAGATGAGTCTTTTCATCAGGTGGGCAATGCTGTAATATAGGATTAGGTTTTCTCAAAAAGCAGAAGGGTTTATGAAGGGAAGATGAGAGCAACACCATTTGGTTCATGTCAAGTAGGATTGTGCCCTCTTGTGGCCAAATAACGTTTAACTCCAGGTAAAATTTGCATGATATACATCGTGTAATCAGGATAAATACTTTATAACCTTATCTAAATAATCAAAGAAAAGGAAACCGTTTTTGCTTCTTTTCTTTTATTTTTTATTTCTATCACCTTTTTTCTCAATTATGAAACTTGCACAAATCCTCTTGAGCAAGAAAACAAGAAAAGCAAACAACAAACGTTTACATTCTTCAGGGATTTCACAGTTGTGCAAAGACAAATGTCTGATAGCTGGCTTAAACCGAAAACACAGCGAGTGATTTTTCTCAATTAGCAGTAGTTTCAAATCTATGTAAAGTATTTTCATGATTATATTATATGAAAGTCATTTATCAAACCACATACATTCAACTCCACTTTTACTTTACAGTGTAAAAAAACATTGACCACAACTACTAACTGGGTATTGTTTGTCAAATGGCCACTATGACAAATTAAGGCTTTCATATTTTTTCTACAATAACATACAAAATACAAACAAGCTGAACATTTGATCAAAAGCAACCCAAATTAACATGTAATTAAAATAAGCTCTGACACAGACTCAACTTTTTAAGATAATGCCACTCTTCAAAAATTCCTCCGTTCCTCCATAAAGAATTCATCAGCATAGATCGTTGTATTTGTTACATGAAATGCTATGCCATGTTATATTTTTGAAATTGTGGCAACCAAATAATTTTCACAAAAAAGGGCATTCAGAAAATAGAAAATATATAAATATACAAGAAGTGGGGAAGACAAGACCAACTGTATACTGCTATTAAGAAGGAATTTGAAATAATATTAAGGTAATTCAATACTTAATACTAAAATCTGAGCACTTGTGTCTTGTGTTGTAACAGGAAAGGAATATCAGAAGATAGAATGGAGTGGCCAATACAGTGCCAAACAATAACAAGCAAATTCAATTATTACAGTGATTTGCAATTTTCGTATATATTTAACCATATTTAAATGGTTATGGTAAGGAATTTAATTATTTACTTGAGCTCAACCCCTGCTTTCCCCATCCTAGATACTTATGCAGATTAGATATAGATAGTGATTACATTGTCCTAAAACTGGTGCAACAAACAATGATTTTCATATTTAGTGTTAATAGAACTAGAAATGTCAAACACTGCTATCTAATCTACCACAAATAGCTGAAATAAATGTAAAAAAAACTACTCCCAGGTAATAATATTCCCTGTATACCCAAACAAATATATATATATATATACAGTGGGTACGGAAAGTATTCAGACCCCCTTAAATTTTTCACTCTTTGTTATATTGCAGCCATTTGCTAAAATCATTTAAGTTAATTTTTTTTCCTCATTAATGTACACACAGCACCCCATATTGACAGAAAAACACAGAATTGTTGACATTTTTGCAGATTTATTAAAAAAGAAAAACTGAAATATCACATGGTCCTAAATATTCAGACCCTTTGCT